AACCAAACTTTAAGTGTGGATACTGGTGGCAACAAACAAGCAACATCTCTAATCCTCTTGTTGATATCAACAATGGTGGCTTGTGTGACCAGGCATTTGAGAAAGAATAGCCTAGGTGTACAGTATGTCTGAATCTCTTATTTAGATAAATATTTTCTTTAAAATATCTGCCCCCCTCTTCTTTTAAGATGTCATACTACCTTTTCTGGTACAGTCTTCATTTTTTCAACTTCTTTGTCTTGTTAATTGTTCATTTGTTATCTGGTTATTTTTTTTCTCTCTCTGATCAGTATATTAACGCATAAATTGCAACTGTGTATTTGCTGTTTTAACAAGAAGTCAAACATATCTAAGAACTCCTGAAGCTGTTGGAAGCTTTTGTCTGCATGTGACTCACTAACATGGTCTTGCCTTCTATCAGTAGACATGTGATCACTTTGTTCCATGTCTAAAAATAATTATACATTTATGGTGCTCCAGTGCATTGTTGAACAGAAAAGTATTAGCATTAATGAGTGGAACATCTGGTATTATATAAAGGTCTCATCTTGCTTGGCTAATAAACCTCCTACACCATTCATAACATTTATTCAATTCTTATGACTTTGTAATGGTTCATTACTTTGTAAAAAAAATGTCATATCCACTTAGCCAGACAGGAACTACACATAGATTGCTGTTGTGCAGCATTACTTTTACTCCTGCTCTGCCCTGTGTAAATCGTCGTCTGCACTATGAGTTCAAAAAAGCACACCTTTTCGTTGTGTAACAATTAGGCTGCAAAGTGTCTGTTCCAAGTAAAATAGTAAGTGCGCTCCCTTGGCATGACATCAAATAAAATAAAACGTCAAATTTCAGAATTATGTCTCCTTTTAAGACAATTTTCACCTCAGCAATACTAAAGGATGAACCAATGTACTGTATATACCAACATATATTTCTATGTTTTTAGAACGTGAGTAAAATTCCCTTGATGTTCCAATCTTGGGTCTGTAGAGCAGCAAGACATTCCAGTTTTCGTTGCAGCTTAAGTCAGAATATCTTCATTTGATCAAGCATTTACTCCAGAAAAGGTGGAGAAAGCTCAAGAAGCTCCAGAAAGCATAAGAAGCCAGAGGAAATGTGGCTTTTCAAGACCTATCAGAGAGAAGTTACAGATATAGAGAACAGTGTTAAATGTAAGAATTGAAAAAAAGCCAATTAAAAATCTATCAGATTTAAGAAAAAATGTTACATTTGATTACATAAAATGACTAACTTTCTCTAAAGCACTTAAATGTTTTTGTCTTTTTTGCAGTTGTAAGTTAAACAGCTCTCTCCTTGGAGATATTAGAAACATGTTATGTCTCGCTAGGCTAGAAGCTACATACATAAGAATAGCAGAATGTCATAAAATATGTAGGAATAGCTAACCATTACCATAGGCTCAGAAAACATTTGTGATAAAACATTTTGTGATGTGTGTAAACTAAAGTATTAGCAGTTTATGAAAAAATAACGCTGTCTAAAACACTTTTAATGTATTTCTCAACCTAAGTAGACCTTGTTTGCTTCTTATCCCTCAAAGTCTATCAGTAAAGTTTTTCCTTGTTATTATTAAATTATGTGATGATTTCATAGGATTCTAATATTTATAGTGTTGTATGCCTTCCACTTACCAAACACCCTACCACATATAGCCTGAATATATGCAGAATTGGTACTGAATAAGGGAAAAATGCATATTGATACACAATCGCTCAAATAGAAAAACAAATAGTCATAACCAACAACACTGCAACACTGAATGGGAGTTAAGGGGTTAAAAAATTACAAGAACACAACCTTATTATTTCCTCTAAATAAAAACAGACTTTCCTGTTGTCAGAAATGCATACCATCCTGACCTAAAATAAATATGCTAATTTTAATTAAAGTCACAGAAAAGCAACTTTAATGGAAATTATGCATACTCTAAAAAAGTCCCACATTTGCTTTTATAATATGAAAACACATTTTTGTATTTTAAAGATTCAAGAAACATCCGATCCCTCAAAGGAATCAATTATACCGAGAAAAAATGTAAGTTTAGAATACATGATAAAAACAGAAGTTCACTTTATGAAGAATTAAAGGGTGTTCAGAGAAAGGTTCTGTTCCACATTCCAAATCATTGGAAGAAAGAATTATTCTTTTTTAATACTTTCTGCAATTTTTCGTTTGATTCCTCTGAATTAAAAATCATTCTTTGGGTCTTATTTCTCCAGATCTTAAATTGGTGCTTAACAATAATACCTGAATTAGCTTGTGACTTCTTCAGTACAGATTCAGCATTTCTATGTTGAGAATGGAAAAAAAAAACAATTCCCCACAAAAGCCTCGTTTCTACATTTGAGTTTCAAGAATTTTGTTTTTGGTGTAAAACAGAAGCATATTGTTTTGGGTGTAAAAAAAACTATAGCAGTGAGAGCACTATAAAAAACCGCAACTGAGGGAATATGATTAAACAGTTCTGAAAGTAGACAAAATTACAGCTTTTATCTTTCAACCAAGAAGGACAAAAAACAAGGAATAAAGAGCCTTTGGTAAATGTGCTCTTTTGTCTTTCATGCTTTAGTGACATTTTACTTCAATTGTATGGTGTGTACATTTCCTTCTCGGTCAGTAGGCTGAAGACTGCTTTCAGAATAGTTAGAAAAGAGATGAAAATCTGGAACAGACCATTTACCGACGTGCTGAGCAATCAGCTTGCTGGGTCTCTTAAAAAGGAAAAAAGTAATACTGTCTCCTTAAAGACAGTAAAGAAGCAATGCCTCTCCTTGAAAGACAGGAGATGGAAAGGATGTGGAGATTCATCATCAAAATGTATTAATAAGTACTGGCTAGGAGATTATTAAGACATAATGGACAAAAATGCATGCCGATCCTGTTAATTTTGAATGACATATTGTCTAGGGTACTTTCTAAGAAAAATGATATCATTAAAAGATAAATATAAAGTAAAATGTCAGCAATACATGTCCTAGTGCATTTTTTACAAGACAATTAATACTTTTTCATACAAATCCATATGGGATATATGGCTGAACCAAGCACCTTCATTCTGAATTGGGGATCCTAACTCCAGGTCCTGGAAATCCACAGCCTTACAGGCAATAGAACATGGGTTGGCAACCGAGAATATGTGTGCCCTTATTGGCACGCAAAGGGATTTTTAACAACACGAGCAATAAAAGTCTAATAAACCACAAAGAAATTAAGTTATAAAAACAATGCTCGATTGTTCTGTAATCCACTACAACATGATACCCAATGAAAGCTTTTTGGTGTAGAAAAAAAAAATATTGACAAGAAAAAAAAAAGTATCAATGGCATGGAGATCTGTAAAAACAAGTGCATTATCGAATTCTTAGCACACTCCTTCTTTTGCCGACCCCTGCTTTAGACGATACTCACACTGTTTAGTAGATCTACCAGAGAACTGGAAATTTATAATGAAGAAAAAATGCTTTAAAAGCTCAAGTTAAATGAAAATCTGCAGATCCCCAGAATTAGGACTAAGATCCCTGATCCAAAGGCTGTAAACTTTAAAACATAGCTTCACAGTTAAAAAAGAGTTGTGTAATGGGCAGGGGGACATCTGTTTCAAGGTGTTCGCAAATTGATTGAATAGGATCTTGAGAGTGAAATGTGCATTCGTTTTGGGCTATCAATGACCTAGTCAGCCATCCTGAATGCTGTCTTCTCTAAGGGAAGAGATACCAGGTGCCTCAAAGTTCAAACAGAGTCCTTCTGAATTTGTGAGGTTACCTTTGAAAAACACTTTTACGATATTGATAAAAATACGACACTGTATATAATTTAATATTTTATAATGTGGTTGGTTCCATGTTTAAAGGGCCAGAACAGATATTTTGCTTATGACTGCATGGATGTTGTATTGTGCTGCCCATATTAAGAACATTTATATCTACATATGCAGACACTATATAACCAAGGCAGAAGTAAAACAATGAGACATGCTAATGAACTGCAAATGGAGAGGAGTCCTTGCTTGAGGTGATGTCCACAAATCAGAAAACACAAAGAATATACGTATGAATTAGAAATACATGTGAGAGTCCTGTCAGTGTAACCCCTCAGAAGGAATGAATGAAAAGCTTACTTTGCTTCAAGAGCCAGTGCTATAATTCCTGCTGCCATGGGCGCAGAAGCAGACGTTCCTGTGTGGCTGTCTGTACAGCGCTGCCTGAGATCTGTGGTGATCTGAAAAGAGATTGAACAAGAAATTTTCAGAATTTTTCTTAGGAAGTGGCAGTGCGCCTAAGGCATGCAGAGTTATATGACTGCCTTTGTCAAGGTACATTGAGTGACAAAAACAAAAGGTATGCAAAAGATTTATATGAATTTCTGATAGGTGAAATTCAGCACCTAAGGCACACATTCCAGCTTTGATATTCACTCCTTACTGAGAAATGAAGCACTATTTAGTTTTCCTACAGCAACAGCTATGTACATGACAACTTTCTTTCTGTATTCTTTATGAGATCGATATTAATAATGATTATTTAATAATATTAATATTAAAATAAGATAACCATTTAATATAAGATACCCTTTAGTATTAAGTGCTTATATTAATATTACAGCATAAAGTTTGATTTAGATAAACTGATTGTATTTAAAAACTACGGAATACATTAGTTTTAAAAAGGCATCTAGACTGAAGAGATGAGAATTAGTTTACATGACATGCAAATCTTTATTCTAATTAGGATAGGATACCCTAATTATGAAGAAATAGTATTATCCAGATTCTCATTTGCTGAGCTTTTGCTTCAGAAAGAATTTCCTATAAACATGATTTAAGATTTTAAAACACAGAGAATGGCAAGCAGAGCCTTCGATAAAACGTAGAATTTTGACACTTCAGAAATTCTTTATTTAGAAATAAAGGAAAAAGCTTATTGTGATATCCAGATGTTGAAAGCTTTTTTAGATGCCTAACACTTTACGAATTCTCCAACAGAAGCTCAGATAAGGAGAACCTGTCACTCAACCACTGACAAACATACCCTGGAAAAGGTGAGACCTGTCAGTTAAACTGACAGGTAGCTTGAACAATAAGATTAAAAATAAGCCTCTGAGATAGGTCTATATAAAAACATTGTTTAATCTTTTTTCTTCTTACTTTTACAAATGGAGTTTATACATTTTATCTTTCACAAGCGACAACAATATTAGCAATAAGGAAAAGAAAGAAAATAAACATTGGAAGCCTATACTGTGTCAAGGCCATTAAGTCATAAGCACACATGAATGGTTTACCGTTGGACTTCTCATTGAAGCACAACCGATAATGTTCTCATTTGAAAGTACTTTGGTCATTAAAGGTCCAGCTCGTACATTGTACAGCAGAGTATAAACTAGCCGTCATGCTGTGCACTACCCTGCATTAACTGCCTGTCTTTAAATCTTAACTGAGATACTGTCACACATCATTACCCTGAAAGCATGCCAGAGTCATACATACAAAACAGCAGAACCTGCATTTGGTCTGCTTTTAATTCAATAGCAGGAAGACAAGAAATAGATTCTAGTTTATATATGGTGCAGATGAAAATATCAATCACCTCACCTCTGTAGGAAATGGAACCCTACTAGCATTGGTTGCACTAGCTTTCATTAAACAGAAGGAAATATCTGAAGCAGGATTCTCACCTGCAGCAGGAAACTGCTGACAACAGTTGAGAAAATTCAGTTTAAATTACCCCTGCAGTACAAAGAAGCAACTTGCATATGAAGATGTCAGAGGCCAACTGCTGTTCCTGTAATCCTATACATATCTGTCCACGGAAGAGACCACCAACAACCAGGCAGCTCTTCGACCAGTCAAAACTTCTGTTCTCAGGGGAGCAATATCATCAATCACAGGAGCTGCACACACAGGCACCCTGACATTGGTATGTCTTGTGGACACAAACAAACCTTACATAGAGCTTCTCTGTACTGAGCTGCATGATTTTTTTTTCCCCAAGTGGGAAGTCTTAACTCTTTTCAGATAAACACAATTTGGAAGATGGACATTAGAAAACCTGGTGTATAACTCTGCATCTTTAGCACTGTAACGACACGTTTAGCACGCCTGGTAAAAGAAGCCAGGGCACCGTCTTCAACAACTGTACGTCAATGAAAAGTTCTAAGGTTTTCATTCTTTCAGCTATAGACTCTGTTTTTTTATTTACATTCAAGTTCCTAAAGTTTTCGTACACTTTTGGTTTATGGATTAAATAAAAAACAACAGATTTAAGAATCAAAATTCCAACAAATACAAAAGAAAAAGGTGTTAGATCACTAGATTTGTAGAATATTTTGAGGTTTTCTGGGAAGATCTTTTAGTTCTATTAGTCATGATCAACAGAATGGTTGAATTGCAATTTTATTTCTATTCAGAGGAAGATATATACCAGACAACTCCCAGTGCCTGCCACTGCATTATGATAAAATAACTATGCTAGAAGTAAAATAAAATAAAAGTCTGAAAAATTCTTAAACTGAATTTTTGACTGAGTCTTAAATACACATCTTAGTGAAAAGAACTTTGCTGGACCTTTGAAAATATACATATCACCTAGGTATAGGGGTTCTTAACCTTTTTTGGGGTTAAAAATATTTCACTACAAGATGAGCCCAAAAAAGCACACACAGGTCAGCCTTTAAAACAGTGCTGTTGTTCAAACACTCCTGTAGTGCAGGGAAAGTTCTTGTCGTCCAGCCGAGTTTGCCACAAGCATATCTTTCTGATCCAAGGTTCAATTTTGTCTGAGAGAGAGAAGACAGATGTGTTTTTCCCTTGCAGTCCCACATTCAACTCGTTGAGATATCAGCCAGATAGGCCAGCAGGGCAAGCCATTTTTCGTTGGAAAATTTTGCAGCTAGCAGGGAGTTTTTCTCCAATAGAAATGCTCTCGCCTCATCTCGGAGCTCGTAAAGGCAACTCAGTACGTTACCCCAGGACAGCCATCGTACTTTGCTGCGGTTCAGCTGATAATATTCTGCTCCCAAATCTTGACAGAGAATCTTGAAAAGCTGTGTGCTTGTTGCACTGGCCTTGATGGAATTTACAGTACGGAGAGTTTCATCCATTACTTGTTTGAGTTCGGGGAGCATTTTCTTAGCCATGAGGGCATGTCTATGAATCATACAATGCGTCCACAAAGTGAACGGAGCAACAGTCTGTAGTAGCCCACTGTGTTTTCCAGTCACAGCTCGAGCACCGTCTGAGCAGATTCCAACACACTGGTTCCAGTCAGTTTCATGCTCATGTACATACTGCATGTGTCCAGCAAAACGAAAAGCTGATCGCCAGTGGCACGCTTGGGAAGAGACGACAGAACAAAAAATCCTCATTAATTTCTCCCTCTTCAACAAATCTGCCATAAACAAGCATTTGTGCATCTCCGGAGACATCAGTGGTCTCGTCAAGTTTTAAAGAAAAATACACACTAGATTTTATCTTAGCGATCACCTGCTCTTCCACGTCTCTTGCCATACGCCCAATGTGGTTAGACATGGTATCATTTGACACTGGTATCAATGCTAGCTGCTCTGCAGCGCTTTTCCCACACATGATTGAAACTGTTTCCTTAGTGCACAGTAAGAAAAAAGTCTCTCCCAAGGTGTGTGGCTTTCCCAGTTTTGGAAATCCAGTTAGCTATGATGAAAGACACCTGAAGTGCCTTCTGGTTCACAGTGGTGGCTTTTTGGAGGGTAGAGTGTTGGCTCCTGTAGCTTTCATTAAAATATTTTCTCATTTTCTTCGTTTTTTCCATTCAGAGTTTTCTGCTCTGCATTTCTCCACATTATCTTTAGCTCTCACTCTTCAAGTGCCACCTATTAAAAAACACTCCATTGCTAGGCTAATGACGACTACCTTGCACAAAAGAAAAAAGTGCTACACATATAAATGCAATCGTGGCCCACCCAATAGAAATGAATGTAGTGCCCTCGCTGTGCGCACCGCAGAGCAGGCTGGGAGTTGTAGCCAGGAGATGGTCTGTGGGCTTCTGGAGTGACCACTAACTCACCCTGCTAATGTAAATAGTCTTAACCATGCAGGTGTATATAATAGTTTATTGTTTATCCCTGTAATTGTCATTTGATGTGTAACCACCCTGAACCTGAGCACTCCTGTTTACCACCCTAGTGTGTGTGTTAACCTTTTGTTGATTCTGTCTCTGTTGCCTATTGCGCAACCCTCCCAGGACTACCCCCAAGTTAAGAAGAAATTCTAGTGATCAACAGCAAACTGTCACCAGTATTGTTTTTAAACCTTTACGATATGAGGCTGAAAGAAAAAAAACAAGTGTGTTTCAATGCATGCTCCACTACATTATGATTTAAAGGTTGAAAGAGTCAAAGCCAGTAGTCTAGGTATTATTAGCTTTCTTCTCAAACTCTCTTCTTAGAAGAGAAAGACAGAAACACTTTGCTTCATGGTGTTTGTACATTAGAAAAGTGTCAAAGGCCAGAGAGCAATATCAAATCATATCACTATCCAGGACTTACTATTTTCCTGTCATAGTTCTCCCCGCTGCTGTACGTGGTGGTGAGTGTGGAGGAGCACTCTTCAAGATACCACGGCTTTTTGCCACTTTCTGCGGTGCTGCTGATTGAAATAGTGTAGATGCTGTTGGTGTAGCCATCGCAGGAACAGTGATCTCGGCTCCGTCCTCCGTTTCCTGATGCCCAAACAAATATGGAACCCCGGCCTTTCCTTCCCTGTTGCAAGAAAGTAAACAGACAATGATGGGCATTTAGTGTTCATGTTCATAAAATGGTGGTGCTAAAAAAGGGAAAACTTCAAAGCTACCAAATCTTCTCTATTAGCCTAATTTAGGAAAATATGACTATTTTCTAGAATTAAAAAAAGTAATGTAGGGGTTTATTTTAAATTCACATCACATAAAAATGGATGCATTTTCATTAAAAAATGATTGGGGGTTTTCAGTTTTTCCACCTTGTAC